GGGTAAGCAGACATCGGTCTTGTTTAACAAAATCTGCCTACAAGAAAATCTGTCACCAAAGTACACCAATATATGACACTCTAGACAAAATCGTGCGTTTCTTTCATATGTTGGTTGTTATTAAGTAGTTATGATGACATAAGATGAGAATTTTATTAAATAATACGATAGTGCTGGAATAAAAAGGGTATGTACGGGTATTGCAACACTATTATAAGTAAATTAGTCACATACTACTTTGGTCGCTTTCATTGGTATTCTTTGACGGAAAATGATTTTCCGTTGGAGGTTAAGTTACTTCTGTAACCGAGTGACCGAGGATTTAGTTAGGAAGATACGGAGATGGTGAAAATTAAGAAAAATGCAAAAGCGCGGAAAGTGAGGGCGAGGCAACATTCTCTGGCTTGAAGTACAACATAGAAATAACAACCGAAAACGTAGCATACAAACGTAGCACAGTTTTGGTAAATGATTTTCAGCACCTCCACTATAAAAAGTGTTCCATCACTGCTGTTAAAATGGCTGTAACAGCGAAGTAGTAGAAATTGTGTCATATTAAAGTAAATAAAGAAAATAAAATATTTCGCAAAAAATCATAGTCGACGAGAAACATTTGCATATTCATTTTGAAGTGTACATTGGACCTATTCCACTTTACCTAAACTGTAAACGTATTTAAATCGAACGTGCTTCATTTTTAAAGGTAAAGATCAAAGTTTAAGTAAGAAAACACAAATATATTATGTGGTGGACAAAGCAATCCATCTTGTTCTTAAAGTTGCCAACAGAATTATACAAGGAACGCTCTAGAAAAAGACAGGACAAGAACTTAAATACAGTTCAGAAATTGAGCAAAACCATATAACACTTGCAAATGACATACATATTTTAAAATTCGCCCTGGTCAGTTCCACTCAATATTAAAAAATCTAGAAAAAGATTTACAACAGTTTTGTATCCTTGTGAGAATACAGGGTTAGGAAGTAAAAACTTAGTTACTAAAGCTCATGAAAGCCATATAAATACAAAGACAACAGAGTTGTAGTGATATGCTTAAGGTGGTGATTTGAAGTGGGCAATAATAGTTTTCTAAAGACATCTAAAGTCTCAAATATAACATTTTTATATGTTGAATTAAAGTTACATTTCAGAATGATTTATAATACTTAAATAATTTGAGTATTTAAGCATTTTTACATTTTATGGAATTATCTTGTATATTCTGTTCATAAGGTCAAAAGCTGGAAAACCTTGATAATTATATCTCTGAATATACTTATAGTTTGTCTTTTGAGGAACTTATAATATGAAATATCTAATATGAATGCAAGTCTTCTTTACTGTAGATGTGAAATACTGGTATTCGTTATCCCAGCGTGCTCTGCGAGATTCTTTGGCTCTCACTCTTAACAATAACGTGGCAAAGAATGTAATTTTATTTTTGGGAGATGGAATGAGTTTACCCACTATTATGGCGGCTCGTGTGCTCAAAGGCCAGAGGATGGGACGTCGAGGAGAGGAGACATGGTTGACCTGGGAAAACTTTCCTCATAGTTGTCTAATTAAGGTTAGTTTACTTCTTACAAACGTCACGGTTATGAAAGTGATTTTGTTCTCATGTTTTTCATAATTACAACGTCATAATCATTGGTACTCTTTTCATAATGTTTCAGTAACCCGAACCCGAAGAAACTATTATATTTTTTGAAATGTTTTAGCTTTGTTTTTACTCTATAATGTGTAGATATTCCCCTCAACATTACATTACTACACGTTGTAGAAATAAAACCAAAATGAATGATTACGAAAATTAGCCTTTGCTTTGAACGTTACAAAATGAATATATATATATGTATTTAATACAACTATTAACATTTGCTTATGCACATACTCAGAAAGAAAATAACTATTTCATGTCTTATACAACTTGACAGACATACAATGCCAACACTCAAGTATCTGATTCAGCTAGTACAGCAACAGCTTACCTCTGTGGTGTGAAGAATAATTATGAAACTGTAGGTGTGTCAGCTGCTGCTAACCATAGTGAGTGTTTTACAACATTTGGTGCAGAGGTATCGTCAATATTGCAGTGGGCTCAAGAAGAAGGTAAGTCTAACATTACACACACACACATATATATATATATATATATATAGCTGTTATTCATTTATACTCCCAAAAATAGTAATAAACTAACAATAACTTCTCGTTTTTATATAGAAATAAAGCAATATGTTATATTTTCGTGTAATACTGTAGTCACAACATAAAACCATATCATTTATCCTGAGGTTAAGAAAACAATTTCATTCTGACGGTACAACAATCATTACGTTCGGAATGATATTACATGCATTTCACAACTTATTTCTTTTCCGTAACGACTTCAGTCCGAGTTTGGCGGTAATTTTGTAAGCCAATAAGTTTTACACCCGGGTGGCCGGCTATCATTTTGTAGTTTAATAATGGCTGAAGATGGCTTGAATGGGTAATGAAGAAAAACTTTAATATAAGTTTAACATAACCGAAAATGTAGAACGACAAAACCTTGTCGAAACGTTGTACATTTGCGGTTATGTTAAACTTATATTACAGTTTTTCTTCATTACCCATTCAAGCCTTCTTCAGCCATTATTAGTCTCAAAGTGGGTTCCTCGTCACCGAATTTTGTAGTTTATAACATAGTATATTAATAGGGTATATATGTAAATACACATAATATAAACCACGAAATAAAAATGACATTGGAATATATTGTCTATTAATAGCGAGTGTATCCCAGTGTAGATGATGAATGTTTGTACATAAATGGACATGGCCCTGAAAGGGGAATTGAATTAATTTGATAAACATTCGTGAAAGCAATGGCCTCTTTTATGTCGCGTTCAACATTTGAACAGTGCACTCATCATACCCATGCTGGGAGGAAGAGGTCAAGATAGCACCTGACCCTCCCAGGTCCATAAGCAGAAACAGTGGGTAGTCGGCCCAGACGTCAATCATATAGGACGAACATGTTCAGTGACAGAGATCCGAACTCGTGACCCTCAGATTGTGAGTCGAGCGCCCTAACCAACAGACGAGTATGCATTTCACAATTAACTAGTGTAAACATTGCCTGTTCTCTGAACTCTCTGCGGTACATCAGAATTCATGGTGGTCAAGAACAAATAAATTAAGAGCATTAGTTACATTAATTTTGAAGATGTTCGAGAAGCAGAATTAATAATATATATTTCTAATAATATGTTTTTATACGTGAAGAAGTTGTTTTTTTTATTTTTGTACTTGTTTTCACCGTACAGTATAAATATTACATAATTGTTAATGTTTTCTATATTCATGTAGTGACAGTTTATTCAACTTGGATGCCATGTTGTTTAAGTGCATATTGGGATATATGTTACTTGTTGGTTTCATCACGTAAAGAACATAAAATATTAGTGTATTACTAAAACGAAAATTCCTTCAACCGTTTTAGTCGTTAGATTTTCTTTTTTAAACAATTAAAAACCTGTTATGGCTGTGAAAATGTTTGTTACTAATTAAATGAGGCCTTGAAGATGTTGAAGTTCCTTCTGTGGTATTTTCGGGTAACGTGAAAATCAGTTTTAAGTACGTACTACAAAAAAGGTAAGTTCAAGAGAAAGGGTACAGTAGAGAATAAGTTGAAAATCTCAACAGATTATATAAAACAAGAAATACAAACTATTTATTATATGCTTAAACAAAGACGTGGTGGAGTGTTACTATTGAAACTGATCACTTATAGAATCTAGAGTAACTTCTCTGGCTGCAGGAGCTAGAAGAAAGGCAAGAAATATCTTTACACTATCAAAACAGAAAAGGACTGCGTATATATCACATTTTCCAGTCAGACCTAATGTATCCAAAATCATGGATTACCTACATTAGTGGTCATTTTTATTGCACGTATTCATGGAACAATTAACTCCTAGTTCAAACTAATTTGTTCAAACCTCCATCGTCCTTCAGTAGAGAATGATTCACACTCCAGGTGACACAAAAGGTTAGAAAAGTAAAAATAAGTTCTACGGAATAGACACTAGGGTATGTAGAGCTGGGTGATTAATCGATATCATTTATTACCTATGAGCATCAATTACATCGATTAATGTTATGTAAAATAATCGATTAATTGAAATTACGATTAAATCAATTAATGTCACGAAAATAATCAACTAATCGAAATTAGTGTTTCTGATTATTAATATTTTCAATTATTATAATTATCTAAATTTATCTTGAGAATGATTGGTTAGTTTAATGAAATCAATTGATAAGCCCGACGTTTAAGAAATTATCAAATTCCGTTAATTGGCCAGCAGTAATTGGTATGTAACCTTAGTTTGAGGTCAGGAATTTAAACAATTAACAATTTACAAATCACTTGAATCCTCTTCATAATGTGCAGAATACCTGCACAAAATTTAAAAAAAAATCTGAATATATCTGAATACAAATATACTGTTACGACAGCGGAAGTCACGTGACCCAGGTAACAGGAGATGATTGTCTAGGAGATTCGCGAAGACGCTAGTGCGTGCTACGTGCGCGTTTTTGATTGTATATAAGCGCGCCAGACAAAGGAGAGGATCATTCGGAAATGGAGTAGCAGAGAGGGAGATTGAAGTTATAAACACCGATAACCACCGTAAGTAAAGTGCGTGAATCGTTTGTTGTGAATTATAGCGTGTGTTTATGTTAAAGTGACTGTGGAAATCAAGTGTATTGCCCAATTGAATTGAGAAAGAATAAACTAGTTTTATTTCAGAAAGGACTTGTATCGCAGAAGAATTTTTACAGGAAATTATCAAATGAACAGAGACATAACAATATTTTTTTCCAGTTATAGAAGGATAACTATAGAGTCCTAAATTAAGTAGCTAACAAAGTCATTCTTTCCACGCGTCCCCCTCCGTAGACATATGCATCATGTTACAATGCACATGGAGGAACAAAAAAAACTTTAGGAACATAAACGCTCCACGGCCATGAAAAATAAAACAAACTTAAGGGTGCTAGATATTGTAAACTAAAAGAAATAGAGCAAAATAAAACTGAATATAATGAAAATTGAAGAAAATGTAGAGTTAAATGAAATGAAACTGAATTCTAAATATAATAGTAACGAAATGAACATAAAGTAAAAACTAAAATAAAATACAGAAGGAGATTGAAAATTAATTAACCAGAAATTTTAAATTGGTTACAACAAAATATAACTATAACAGCCACAGTAAATCACAAAAAATCTCAAAGTTAAAATATGAGATAAACTCAAATTTGCACAAATTCGTAATCATAATTAAAATAAAATGCTGATTAAAATAAAGCAAAATAGAATTAAACAAAATACAGATATAAAATTTTTTAAATGCGGAATGAGACGTATCACATAAAAATATAAGAACAGTAAGTAATGTGCATTAAAAACTTCAAATGAAACACAGGATACTCGAAATGGTTAAACGGGAAAGACCTTAAAATTAGTGAAGAAGTGATTCTATTGCACATGGCACATCACCTCACTTTAGTTCCCCCAGTTGTTAAATTCCATCATACAGAAAATTGGACAAGAACTTATTTCTTCCCTATTCTTAAGATCAAAGACCATATTAACTAAGGTTAATTGTGGTTGTATTAAAGGTTTAGGAGCTGGGATGATGACTAAAGGAGAAACTATTGCGTCTTTGGGCTACATTCTGGATTTCATGGCTTGGGTAAATACTATGGCAGCAGGATCAATAGCTGACAATGTTAGAGCTAAGGAACCCTCCTCTGTCATTATGGATTCAATGGTTTAGAAGGTTAGGTTTTGTTTCTGGACTGATGGGCCTCCTGACCAGCTTATTGCACTCGGGACTGA